ATTACACATGGTTTGGTACTTAGGTTCTGTTAACTCAGATGGTACTTTCTAGAGATTCATTTAGAATTTGATGACTTGAGAAACTTTTGATGTTTCTACAGAATACTTCTTGTGTTTTTTTTCTTTTTAAAGTTACATACGATGGTGGATAGAATTACTTGGTAAACTCTTGTTAACTATGTTGGTGGAAGGTTGCAAGTATCGTGTAGAAAAGTCGAGGTGCGAATAAGTTGCCACAAACACCATCTTTACTAAAATAAAGTTATAATATAACTGCCGCGTTTGTGCTAGCTTATGTTTAAAAACATTAGGGGAAGAATCGTCTGAATGTTAGAATAAGGTGGTAAGCGGTGCTAATGTGGTTTGAAGGCAAGATCTCATAGAAAATTTGAACACCTGGTTGAATTTTTTTAATATCTAAATAGAATTAAGTAATTATGTTGATGTGATAAGGTAAGTCCCTGCTAACTAATTTATAGACACAAGTAGAGAATGTCACAAAAAACTGATATGAAGAACATCTCATTGTCTCTATAGACTTGAATGTCAGCTTCACAAATGTTTTAAGTTAAAGTTTCAATAATTAATACGAGGTATGGTCAACTTTTTCAGATGCTTTTTGGTCCTTTAGTTCCTAGGTCTTTTTCTGAACAGATAGCTCAAAATTTTCAATGCACTCTATTACGGGTAATTTTCAGGTGAGGAATAATGTTTTGAGCCATTTAGAAACCAAGGCCTAAATCCATGAAGCGCGTTAAGAGTCCAAATAGGAACTTAATTGCAAAATTGGCTTGGAATCTCTAATTTGTGTATGCTTGTACTCTCAAACATACTTGGGCACTAAAGAAATTTCAGTTAATTAGATTGTATGTTTTTAATCACGGATGAGGCATGTGAGGTATTTACAAACTAATTTCTAGAGGTAGAAGGTGCATTTGGACTTTGGAGTCCAAACAGATGGTTAAAAGCAAGACGGGTTGACTGGATGTATTGTTCTCAAGAACTAGTTAATATCTAATATGAAGAACTGATTCTATGCGTTCAACACAACTATCAAACAATAAGTTGGAAAGGAAACTTAAGAGGCACACTGGATTTAATTTGCATAAACAATCAAGTGCATGTATATGTGATTCGTATTACTCTGAGTTTTTAATTTAGATCGATGGAGTATTAGTGAAGCAATGATGTTTGGGAAGAAGAATATTATTCTTCAAGTTCTAATTTTACATCCCACAAAGTTAAATGTTTGTTTCCTGTTATCTCCAAGTGCTACTGCTATTTCTTTTCTACTGAAGGTGCTTATCACGAAGGTTTTTCTTACCTTCAGATGAGCTTGAAGAGAAAATTTGAGCAAGGAACCAATGAGAACAAGGTCCACCGGAATCGTCAGTCTTCCAGGAAACAGCAGGAAGAGGCATCATCAGACGATGAGCAGCAGGATTCCAAGAAGGGACGCTCCAAGTTGGAACGGTGGACAAGCCACAAGGAAAGAGACTTTAGTATCGATGCTAAATCATCGTCCTTGAACATGAAAGACAATGATGTACACAAGAGCAGTGGTACTTCATTAGCTAACAAAAATCCAGACGAAGCTTTAAAGGCAGTCGAAGACAATCAACAGCCTGCAGCTAACAATAAAAATGGAGGTGGTCCAGAAATTAATAATGTAGAGGCAAAGCATATGGAGGATAAACACTTGGAGACAGTTGAGAAGTTGAAGAAGCGGAGTGAGCGCTTCAAGCTTCCAATGCCAAGTGAAAAAGAAGCTCCAGTAAGTAAAAAGGCAGAAGGTGATCCAATATCCTTGGTCCAAAGTGAAATCCCTCCAGATTCGGAGGTGAAGCCCGAGCGTCCAGCACGAAGGAGGAGATGGACCAGCAATTAAATGAGCATTCAAGGAACATCTTTGTTGGATGACTTGTTTCCTCCTCCTGGAGTATATGCCTCCTCGGCTACTGTATTTCCAATATGGATACCTTGAGGAGCGCGCCCTGTTGTCTATTCAGGATGTGATGTTCGTTTAGACCTTCCATAGTAGATTTGGGAACCTGTAACATGCCTACTTTATCTATTTGGTTTTCTTAATTCTGTAATACATGTATATACCAGTAAGCGTAACACTATAGCGGCCCATTGTTTGGGTGCCAGAATTACATTTTTGGTTATTAAATGACATTGAATTATAGTGTATGAGTAGTAAACACTGTATACGAGAACCATAGTTGGTGACTATGGTTGACGACCAGGTCCTTCATGGTCTTTCTTCCTTGAACCACTCTCTGGCCTCTGCAAGGAGTCCCTGTTTACTGTCGCCTTTTTGGACTATGAATGATGAGACTTCAGGAACTGAAACTCGGGGTCAAGAAGATGAAGGATTGGCTGAGAAGCAAAATTTCAGGAGGATCTGGTATTAGGAAACAGGGACTTGATATTGCCCTGGCCATGTAGGTAGTATGTATCATGATAAAGCTTCTTTGTCTCTGGGAAAAGTTTATTATTTCATGGAGCGTAAAGTCAGATATGTGACTTTTGTATGTTGTGTTAGAGAAAGTAACTGTGTTACAGAAATTATAAAAGAAGAGAAGAAAATCTCTTGACCACGCAAATGTTTTCTTTTCTGTTTTAACTTTTCGTTTGAGGTTCTTGTGGTTAAGATTGGAAAAGAGACCAAGAACTATCATAAACATGAGGCCGGTTATGTTTGACTATCAGTTATTGTCAGTCAGTGAATTTAAAAGTACCAAGCTATTGCAGGAATATTTCTACAAGAGTTCCAAATGACTAACATTTTATTGCCATAATAATTTTATCTCTTGGCGTAACTAGTAAAATTGTTGTTATGTGACCAATAGGTCATAGGTTCGAGCTATGGAAACAGCCTCTTGCGGAAATGCAGGGTAAGGTTGCGTACGATAAACTCTTATAGTCCGGCTCTTTTTCGGGCCCCGTGCATAGCAGGAGCATAATGCATTATGCTGTCTTTTTTTTTTTTTTAAATCCATCTATCTTTGTGTCCCCAGCACCTGATCAGACCTTTCTACAAGCTTTTTGGACACTAGAAGAAGTCCAAGGTTACTAATTTGTATCTTTGGAATTTGGATCCTTTCATAGTGTCCGGATTAAGTTGTACGCACCTCTATTATTTTCCTAGGTATTTACTACCTTCACTAATAATGTACGGGGTAACTGTACCTACCAAAACTTAGGTAAATGAGAAGAAGTCAAATAACATTTTCTGCTTTTGTTATAACTTGAACTTTGGTCTTTCATAATTTAAAAATCCGGAATACTTACCAGTATCCGGTGCATGAGAGAAGACGATAAGTGCTGGCACGCATATTTTACATAATATGTATTACATGATCATGGTTAATTAAAATAAATTGTTACCTCAATTAGCATTTAACCATAATTAACATGGATAGGGTAAGTTTTTTCCGGAAGAGGCTTTATAGTTTGTTTGGCCAAGTTTCTAAAATAAGCTTATTTTGAGAAATGCTTTTTCTCAAAAGTGCTTTTTTAAAAGTATTTTAGGTGAGTTTGTGTTTGGCTAATTAATTTTAAAAGCACTTTTGAGCAACAATTAGCATTTGGCCAAGCTGCAAAAATTAGTTTATCTTGAGAAGTGTTTTTTTTAAAAATACTTTTGGTAAGAAACAATTTATTTTTGGCTAATTTATTTGAAAAGCACTTCTGAGCAGCAATTAGTATTTGGCCAAGCTTTTAAAAATTGCTTCTAAGTGTATTTTTCTCAAAAGTGTTTTTCAAAAAATTGCTTTTGGAGATAAGCTACTTGTTTCTGCTTCTCCAAAACTACTTCTGCTTCTACTCAAAAGCACTTTTTTCTTCTAAAAGCTTGTCTAAAACACTTCAACTTTAGAAGAAAAAAAAAAGCAATTTTGGCTTGGAGAAGATAGACCAAACAAGCTATAAGTGTATTTATCTCAAAAGTGCTTTTCGAAAAAGTGTTTACGGGGATAAGCTACTTTTTTCTACTTCTCCAAAATTATTTCTACTTCTACTCAAAAATATTTTTTTTCCTTCTAAGTTTGGCCAAACACTTCGGGTGTGTTCCAGTGTTTGGTACGCAAATTAAGGAAAATAACTTCTCAAGAGTATTCATAAATTATTTAGATATAATAAACATAAAGCCATAAACTTTCAAACCAACAACCTTCCGAACCCACAAATTTCATAAACTTTCGAGCCGCTAAACTTTCAAAACTGCAGAATTTCGAACTCGTAAACTTTATAATTTCTAAACCCGTAAACTTCCAAACACATAAACCTCTGAACTCATAATTTTGGAACTTGTAAAATTTTGAACCTTTAAACCGATAAATAAAAAAATTAAAACTAAATAATATATTTAAAAAATATTTTGGGGGGAGGGCAGGTGAGGGGTAGTAGGGTGAGTGGTAACGGAAAAACTGAAATTAAAAAAAAAAGCATTGTTTGGAGAGGGGGTGGGTTGGATTGGTGAGGGTAGGGAAGATTGAGAAGAAGTTTTGAAAAATATTTTTCATTCTCTTGATAAGGAAAACATTTGAGTTCATAAGGAAAATATTTTTCAAAACATTTAAGCCAACTAAACATGGGAAAATTGGAAAATATTTTCCGAAAAATGTTTTCTTTCATACCAAACACACCCTTCAACTTTAGAAAAAAAAAGTATTTTTAGCCTCGGAGAAGCTTGGCTAAATGACTACTAATCTCCTAATACATATACATACTTTTCAAAAAAAAAAAAAAGTACTTGGATATTATTATTTAGCATGATAAAAAAATTCAAAATAACAAGGTTCCTCAATGAAACAAGGGTAAGAACAAGAAGGTTTTAAGGATAATCTTGATCATAGAATGACTAAAAATTACCCTAACAATCTGTATTCATCCACTCTTTGCAAATACGGGGTAAAAGAAAGGACATAAAAGTAAAAGCATGACACCATAGGGTACTATAAAATAACCTCTTTGGGACAAAGACAAATGTTATTTTTGGTGAAAGAACTCTAGACGGAAAGAATGAGGCAGCGGAGAGGTAGAGGGGAGTCTCTAATGGTGGTTGCCCTCTCTCTGTTTCCTATGATTTCCTTTTCCATTTTAACCAAACGCGGCACTAATAAACCACCATTCATCTTAAGTGTCTGTTTGGTCAAGCTCTGATCTATACACACACACATATACGATATATATATATATATATACACACACACCTGTAGGGGTAAAAGGGTTTAGGATTTAAAACCTAACCCTTTTTGCTGCTGCTTCTTCTTCTTCTTCCTCATCATCAAAATTATTATTATTATTATTACTCCCTCCGTTCCACTTTATTGTTACTGTATCGGATGAGAGGCTGTGATGATTAAGGTGTCGTCTAGAGTTCGTGGGGGTAATGGAGCAGCCCGTATCTTGGCGGGGCGACCCGGAAGGCACTATTTATATAGTGCAACCGAGGTTTGCAGCCATGGCGGTTGCTTTGTCTCCTTTGCCCTGATTTTATCACAGATCTGAGCCTCAATATACCCCCCAAAAAAGTATTATTTATGTTTGATAATTTCAAAATTTGCTTTAATGAAGTTACATTTGCTTTAAGTTTTAGTTTGCTGACTCCTTTGTTTAGAAATTTTTGTACAGGTAGCTATTGAAGTCATTATATGGACAAATATACAATGCTTATTTTCTATTCACTTAGATGATTATTTTATAGAAAGTTTTATTCTTTTTAAATAAAGTAGATCGGATTGTTTGAAGGAAGTTTTTCTTTTCAGCTAACTAAAATGGTGAATATTGACATTTTAAGTTTTTGAGGAAATTGAAAACGAGAAAAGGACTGGGGAATGTTTTTAGCTGACTATCTAGTGTAAAAAGAAAATATTTGCAGTCATGAGTGCATAATAAGGAAGTAAAGTTGTTGTTTTGGTATAGACCAATTTGTAGTATATTATATTCATGATTGAATTATCAATATGACTGATTAAGAAAGAATTTTAGTATAAAATAATCTGTGAAATCTGTCATATTTTTCCCCTTTAGGTACTAAGTTGAGATATATAGAGTAATGATCCAACTTTAAAAGAGGAATGGAGTATTAAAGTATTTATCTTACCTTTAAACCCTTCCCTTTTTTTCTCATCTTGCTCTTGTTCTCTTTTCGTTTTCTGTTGTTGATAGGTGATGCAGTCTTATTTCTACTGCATGAATTGAAATTGGAATTAGTACTCAAGAATAATCTATCTAAGGAAATAATAAATGGGAATGAGGTAACATAGGGATAGGAAAGTATCTAGGGATGTTGCCTCCCATCTGAATGCAAATGATTACTAAGTGTTCTGCTTTCTTGGTCATTATTTTTCCCTCACAAAATCGGAATCATTGTGAGCATCATTGCTGATGCTTATCTGTAGGCTGTGACGATAAAGCTTACTGAATTGATCGGGTTTTGTCAACTGGACCCGTATCTTGACAAGGCAAACCAAGATGTCTTGTAAGCAGACTAATGAGTATCAGAATAAAATAGATTGTGATTGAGATTGTTGTTGTTGTTGACTTGTTGTTGTTGTATGCTACTCTGGTTTGCAGCCATGGCGGTGTCCTTTTCCTTTGCCCGATTTTGTCACAAATCTGAGCCTACTTATGTACTCAACCAAGAATAATTGGTCAGAGAGAAAAGTAAGTAAAACACTAAGAAATAAGAATGAGGCAGCATAGTGATGCCAGTTTGTTTCGATGGTTGCCTCCCATTTCTATGCCAATGATTTCTTAGCGATCTGCTTCTGTCAAAGCTAGAACCTTTATTTATTGACACTGTCATGCTTATTGATGCTCGGTTGTGTTCTTGTACTTCCTGCCACTGTTTTCTTAGTCATTATCTTTTTCCCTTTCAAAAATCACAAACATATGAGCATTATTACCGATGCTTTTTTGTATGCTTTTTGAATTTGTCGTGTTTAGGTTAACTGGAGCCGTATCTTGGCGGGGCAAACCAGGTCTTTCATTAGCATAGATTAATGGTTATTGAAATAGAGCAAAATCGATATTGGCATAAAGTTGATTCCGATTGGTTTGATATTGTGGTGTAATTGTTCTATTATGTTATCATGGTTTGCAGTGATGATGGCGTTCCTTTATTTTACCTGATTTTGTGTCGGATCTGAGCCTACATATGTACTCGCCTATCACTTTATTGATAAATGGATGGATAGATAGATAGATGAAAGTGATGGAAATAATTTGTAGATACGAATGCAAATAACTTATAACATGCATGGAGAAAGGGGGAAGGTAAATGGGGTAAAAACATGGATCTATTTTGGATTTGTGATGACATTTCTTAGGGCAACTGACTGAAGAACTGATGTTACTTGGTGAGACAGTAAATACTAAATAGTATTCTTAATTTGGTATTTGGTTGTGTGCTTCTTATTTTCTCTATTCTTGATATTCCCTTGCCCTCATTTTTCTCCTTTTCTTTATAAAGTCCTTTGCCTGTGATTTCTCTCGTCATAATGGTTGCATCTCGTGCAGTTAGTGATTTCTAACTACGCTGGTGTTTGGGATTCAGGGTTTCTACAATAATGTTATGTTATGCGGACTCTCCAAAATGTTGTTGCACCCATATCGGATCCTCCAAAAATGCACTACTTTGGAGGATCTCGTATACAACCGGCAATATTTTTGGAGAGTCTGAGCAACATATCAATAATGTGCAGAGCACCGGAAAAAGGGCGGTATTGTAATCGTAGCAACTTATCTTCCCTGCTGAGATTGAGGGGTGATGTTTTTATGGTTGCCACCAAGATTTCCAAGAAGGATTACATTGGTAAACATGCTTGATTGAGGGGCCTAGACTAACATGAAAAGTTGGCAAGTTCAAAAAGGTTTCTTACAATGAGAAAGCAGATGGTTTGCAAGCAATCTGAAAAACAGCAGGAGTGAAGTGAATATTTTCAATTAACTTTGTCTAAAATGAAATGTCAAATCAAGATTCTACATTAGAATAAATTGCTCTAGGATTTATGTTTGCTAGATGTTCATGAGCTGAAAATTTCACCAAGTGTAATCGTTTTCTTTCTCTTTGTTGTTTCACTGAGTCTGATCGTTTTCGGCAAGAATTTGTGTCTTAGATTTGAAGTTCATGTGTGTTTCCACAGCACCTGATCAGACTCTTGTACCAGCTTTCTGATATCACGAGACAGCTTATAATCAAATCAAAATTAGTTCTAGAACGCAATTTTTTTTGACATTCACATAGATATATACGCGAAAAATGGTAAAATATTGGGAAAACTACCATATATAGTCCTTCAAAATTTTAATAGCCCAAAGTTTTCCCCATTGGACCCGAAATGTCCTTCCGGCCCAAACTTATTACATCTACTAGCCCATAATCCATAAATCACCCACGCTTTTGAACTCGCTCCTTTAACTCGGCTCTCTCAAAACACCTTTCTTCTCAAACACAACTTCTGAATTTTTACTTTTAGTTTTAATGTAAGTCAAAATTTTAGTAGGTTTTCCGATTTTTGTTCATAATCGACTCTAGGTTTTCCGATTTTTGCTCATAGTCGTCTCTATAATGGGGGAAAGAAGTCTTTGAAGAAAAAAAGGAAGATGAAGGCATCTCCAAATTCTCTGAAATTAGCCGGTCAATTAGTGAAATATAACCTTAATTTCATTAGCAATAACAATGATGATTTTGAAGATTTACCAGAATTTGGGTACGATTTGGGGCATGCAACCCATAAATCTGTTGAAGCAATGCAAAATACCCTAATGAAGGAAAGCAAAATACCCTTGTAGATAGAATGACTCGTTTTCATAACAGGACTCTCAGCGATAGAGTAAAGAGGTCAAACACTGCTCAGTATGTAGTTGTTGAAAAAGGCACAAGTTCCAAGAGAAAGATTAAAATAGTGGGAAAGGATGTTGTGAAGGATAAGGGTAAAGGTTCTAAATGGAAGGCTAAAAGTGATGGGGATGATGTTCCATCAAAAAAGAGAAAAGTTCATGTTGATCAAAAATGTTCTAGCTCATCTGATTTGAAGGTATTTTCTAATGATATAACTTTGACTTGTGTGCGCTTAGTTTATTTTAATATGTAGAAATTTAACCAATGTGGCAGTTATGTTCCAGATTTATATATAAAATGTATCATTCTTTTTCATATTGTATATAATGTGTATCAAGTCAATAAGTAATGTGCAACTTTTGTATATAAAGTGTATCATTTATCCACATATTGTATAAGTAATGTTTAAAGTGTGTATTTGTGATTATTATGAAGCTTATATATATATTTATATTTTTGTGTTGTTTGCAGCTTTGAGATTATTATGTTCCTTTTGGTGATCATTATAGTACCCGTATCAGTGTGCATACAAACTGCAGTATAGTGAAACATTTGAAAGATAATTTGGATGATCAACAGATTGAGATGTTTAGAAGAACATGTTTTGGTTATTTTGTGGACTTGCCCGAATTTTTATACAGAACCTTATCCATTCACTATTGCTTAGGGAAGTAGTGTCACCTAAAGATAATGAGTTATGGATTAAAGTGAATAGCACCAAGTTGCGCTTTGGACTTGCAGAGTTTTGTATTATTACAGGTTTAAAGTGTAATGGTGATCCCAATAAGGATTATGAATCTCAGTCGAGTCGGTTGATGGAATTGTACTTTCCAAGCATGTCGAAAGTGTCTAAGAAATTGTTAACTGACTGTTTCTTAAAAAAGATGTGGAAATCTGATGAGGATGCATTAAAGATTGTAGTATTGTATTTCATTCACAGTTTCATGTTTTTTTTTGTTACGAATGATGATTTGATAACAAAGAATGATTTTCTGTTGGTTGAATCTGGTGATTTTGAGACTTTCCCTTGGAGAAAAGTGGTTTTTAATGCTACGTTGGAGTCAGTGAAGGATAAGGTTCGTAGCAGGAGAGAGATGCACCGATATGGTGGTTTGAGTTTGGCATTCCAGTGTTGGTTTTATGAATGTTGCCCCTATACTCGCAAAAACCTAGCTTACCGGATTGGAGATCTTGTGCCACGCATACTTAACTAGAAAGTAAAGAAGAAGGTGACGTTTAAGAGGTTGAGGAAAGAGTTTTTTCTTTTAAGTCAGGAGCAGGTAAACAATATATATTTCTGATACATAAATTATACATTTCTGATACATGTATTATGCATTTTTGATACATTTCTGTTACATGAATTATGCATTCTGATACATTAATTATGCATTTATGATACATTTGATGATTGCTAACTTTTATTTATTTATTTGTAGTTGGTGTTTCATAACATTTCCCCAACAAATGATGAATAAACAAGGTTTCAATTGCATGACTTTGTCCCGATTTGTGAAGATAAAAATGAGATTCATATTGAATCTGGAGTCGTGGCTGAAGTTAAAACAAATGCTAAGAAGCACTCCAAAAATAAGCCGGAATCACAATCTATCAACAATGAGAATCCGGATCCACAGTGTAGTAACTTGAATTCAAGCGAGAAAGAGCTGAAACTTCTAAGAAATGAAATGAAGAAGGTACAATTCTATTTTGTCTTTGAGCAGTTCTGACAATTTAATTGATATTCGGTTTCACTTTTCCTCTTATAGGTAAACGACAAGGTTTCATCTTTGGAGAACTTAATGATTTCCTCATTTGAAAAGGTTTTTAAAGCTCTAGGTGTACGCGATGCTTCAAAGGTATTCTCATGACTACGCTTATTTGTTATTTTTACCTTTTACTATAATTTTACAACTTTTTGTATATTTTTTCTGAACAGGGTAATCAAAAAGATGACAACCATCATGATAAGGAAGTTTCAGAGAATAATTTTGGTAGTGAGGAAGTTATGGAGAAAAATATTGGCGTTGAAGAAGTTGTAAAGAAAAATATAGACAACGAGGTAAGTCTAGAGCAAACTGTTGATGTTATGGAGGGTGTGGTGAAGGATTCTATACAAGAT